TGGGTGGATGATGGATGGATGCATGGATGGATGAATAGAAGGGTGGGTGGGTGGATGGATGGATGGATGGATAAAAAGGAGAGAAGAGAGGAAGACACGTGGATGGATGGGTAGCAGGCAGGAGTGAGGTCTGGGATGTGACATTGGCTGCCTGTTTTACCCTCTGCTCTCATCGTGCCACAGCTAGAAGCTCAGATGTAAAACTGGCATCACGCCTGACATGACTTTCCTGTGTGTCTCTGGGCAGGTGCCACCATGCAGGTGAAGAAGTACCTGCTGAAGTGCCTGCACAGGCTGCAGAAGGGCCCCGGCTACACGTACAAGGAGCTACTGATCTGGTACTGCAACAACACCAACACCCATGGCCCCAAGCGCATCATCTGCGAGGGGCCCAAGAAGAAGGCCATGTGGTTCCTGCTCACGCTGCTCTTTGCCTGCCTCGTCTGCTGGCAGTGGGGCGTCTTCATCCAGACCTACCTGAGCTGGAAGGTCAGCGTCTCCCTCTCCATCGGCTTCAAGAACATGGACTTCCCAGCCGTCACCATCTGCAATGCCAGCCCCTTCCAGTAGGTGGACCTGGAGGGCGTGGCGGCTCAGCGCCGGGGACACTTCACTCCCTCACTTCAAACGCTTATTTTCTACCTTTCTTTGCCGGCCTTCAAATGACCTTTTCTTCTTAACCTTGTTCTCTCTTACTATTTTCTCTCCTTGTTCCCTTTCCTTCCTTCCTTCCTTCCTTCCTTCCTTCCTTCCTTCCTTCCTTCCTTCCTTCCTTCCTTCCTTTTCCTCCCTCAAATAAGATTCAAAAGTCATCAACTTCCTAGGTTTAATGAGAACCTTAACAAATGCCAGGTTTTTCTCTCGAGGATTAAAAATCCTGGTGGCACATTATTTAAGCACCAGCTGCTGCACAGGAGGAAGATGGGTTTGTTGTTGTTATTGTTGTTGTTAGGTGCCATCGAGTCAAGTGCAACCCTATGAACAGCAGATCTGAACCTAGTTCCATCCTATGTGAGGCTCACACGTCCTGACACACTAGAGCCCATTGCAGCCAGTCACTGTGTCAGTCAGTACACCTGGTCGAGGGTCGTCTTCTCCTTTGTCGACCCAGCATCGATGAATTAAGATTCATTCTCTCTGTCTCTCTTTCTCTTTGTCTGTCTTTCTTTCTGCCTATCTGTCCCTTTCTCTCATTTGCTATTGACTCTCCAGCAGGTATTCAGAGTCTATAAATCTCATGGGAGGAGATTGTCCATCTTTCTCCCATGAGGCAACTTTTGGATTTGAGCTCCCCACGTTTGGGCTGGCAAGGCAACTTGCTCTCCATGAGGCCACCAGAGCTCCCTCCATACAGATTACAGCCTCAGAAACCCTGTTGTTGTTGTTCTTGTTATTAGGTGCCATCGAGTCAACTATGACACCTAGTGACCCTGTGAGCAATGGATCTGAACTTCACAGTGTCCTGTGTCATCCTCATGATCTGACATCTCTGAACCCATTGTTAGACACTATGTCACATCATCTTGTTGAGGGTCTCCTCTTTTGATGACCCTCCACCTTCCCAAGCATGATGTCTAGTTCTGTTCTGTCTTAGAAGGTCAGTATGAATTGGAATCCACTCAGTGTCAGTAGGCTGGGTTTTTGTTCATCTCTGTCTTCAGGTGTGTTAATACCATTCTATTACCCCGTACATGTTTGTTAAAAGCATCTACTCAGTTGGAGGCATGAGAGAACAAGACCAAGTCCTGCCCCCCTCATGGCCTAGCACAGAAAACAGATGTGAATTTTTTCACAAATACTAAATGAATGATCGTTGTTATGATTAAAAAAAGATAGCAATTTTTAAAAATTTATAAAAAGTATTCTGTTTTGTAAGGATTTAATAAAAGTCATTGTTGTTGTTTTGTTGTTATGTGCAATCAAGTCGCTTGTGACTCATAGCGACCCTATGTACAACAGCCCTAAACTCTGCTCTGTCCTGTTCCGATCACACTGTCTCTTACACTCCCATCCTGATTATCCAGTCACTGAATCAATCCACCTCATAGAGGGCCTTCCCCTCCTGTGCTGTCCCTCCACCCTCCCAAGCATCATGTCCCTCTCCAAGGTCCTGTCCCTCCTTACATGTCCAAAGTATGTTAGACGGAGCCTCAGAATCCTTGCCTCCAAGGAGCCGCCCTATTTAACCCTTCCCAGGATGAATCTGTTGGTTTTCCTAGCAGTTCATGGTACCCTCCAGCACCACAGCTCAAAGGCATCAATTCTCCTTCTATCCTCCTTAGTCATTGTCCAACTCTCTGATGCATAACAAGTGATAGCAAAGACCATGGCCTGTATCAGATGCACCTTAGTCTCCAGAGAGACACCATTGCTCTTCAGTACTTTGGAGAGGTCCCTAACAGCAGACTTTTCTATCACAATATGTCTTTTCATTTCATGGCTGCTGATGTCAAGAGTATTGACTGTGGTGCCAAGCAGACTAAAGCTGTGAACAATCTCAATCTCTTCACCATCCATCCTGATGTTGCCAGTTGGTTCAGTGGTGAGAATCTTTATCTTCTTGACATCGAGCCTCAATCCATATTGGAGGCTGCAGTCCTTGACCTTTTGCAGCAAGCGCTTCAGGTCCTCCTCAGTTTCAGCAAGCAGGATTGTGTCATCTGCATAACGCAGATTGTTAGTAGATCTTCCACCAATCCTGACGCCACACTTCTCCTCATAGAGCCCTGCCTCTCGGATAATCTGTTCTGCATACAGGTTGAAAAGGTATGGAGACAAAAAAAGTATTCTGTTTTGTAAGGAATTAATAAAAGTCATAAAAAGGGGGGTGGGGAAAGATAGCAATTAAGAACCAAGTGCTTGTGCCACGCCAGGCGGTGTGCTGAGTGGGGTTTGGGGAATAGAGGAAGGTCATGTCTGTGATTCTGATCTTCACAACCCTCCTGGGGGTGAACATCAGTGTGAGTCCCACTTTGTAGGTGAGGAAATGAAGATTCAAAGAGATGAGTCATGTTGCCAAGAGCACACCATGAGCAGCTGCCACCCTGGGCTTGAGGCTGAGTTGACTCAAGAGTGGCCATGCTTAACTGCTCGACCTCGGTGCCCCTCCTGCATTCGATGCCAAGGCCTGTGGAGCAGGCATACAAGGGACAACACAGTTAGGCCTGGGGCGAGGAAGGGAAGAAATAGGGGAGAAAGACCTGAGAAGTGAGGAGAAGTTCCCCAGGCGGAACAGAGAAGGTGTCCCAGGTGAGACATTCAAGGAATTCAGGCAAGAACCCTTGTAATTGAGCCGTAGAGAACATTCTTGTCCTGGGGAGGGTTCTGGGAAGGAAGCCAAACCTCCTGCCAAACCCCTTTCCAATTATCTGAGTCCCTCATTACTGGCACCAGGGAACTCTGATGGCATAACCACTAAGCAAGGAATTGCACCACTTGCCGAAGGTGGTACCTTTCTGATATTTCAAATCTACCCACTGCTCTGTGGAGGAAAGATGGGCAGTGTTCTCCTGTGTGATTTTCAGCCTCCTAAAAGCCCACTTCCAGTGGGAGCTCTGGTTGTATAGTGGTAAGGAGTTGGATTGCCAGCCCAAAGGAACGTGGATCGAATCCACCAGCTGTTCTATGGGAGAAAAATAGACAGTCTCCTCCCATGTGATTTATTGCATCTGAAAACCCACTGGAGGGTCAGCCGTGGGTTGGTTCCGACTCAGCGGCACACAAGAACAAAAACCTACTGGAGGGGCAGCTATGACTCAGTGCCAGCTTGGCAGCAGTGAGGTGGTTTGTTGTTGTTGTTGTTATGTGCTGTCGAGTCGCTTGTGACTCATAGCGACCCTATGTACAACAACCCTAAACCCTGCTCTATCCTGTGCCAATCTCATTGCTTCTGACACACCCATCCCGATTACCCCAGTCACTGAATCAATCCACCTCATAGAGGGTCTTCCCCTCCTGCGCTGTCCCTCCACCCTCCTAAGCGTGATGTCCCTCTCCAAGGACCGGTCCCTCCTTACAACATGTCCAAAGTATGTCAGACATACATACATACAGCAGTGAAGGTTTTTTTAAAAAAATAAAAATTTTCTAGTAATAGAGCTCTTGCCTGCTCAGGTGGGCTCTTGGAGTCACATGAGAACGTTTCCTAACGCAGGGGTGACGGCCACCCCGAGCCACACACACTCCTGCATGCTTTGTGCACAACATCTCGCTGAAGTCCCCTACCTGCCTCTCAGGAAAGTGTCTTCACTCCTTCCTGTTTTGAAAGCAAGAGCGTCGAAACTCAGGGCGGCATTCCCAAGGTCACACAGATGTTACCTGGCACAAAGGTGGACGTCAGCCCAGCCCAGCACCCCACTGCCCCAGAGCTCCCCGCCCTTGTTCCCCTCCAGTGACATATTAGTGTCCAGAAGATGGAAAGTGTCCAAGCCTGAGGTCACTGTGGGCTCTGGTCATTCTTCATTCTTGCACCAGCACTTCGGCTCCCTCCTCTCCAGACTTGGAGGTCCCTGCATGGACGCCTCCAGCTGGAGCTGGCTCTCGACGCCCTGGTGGCCACCGTGTCGCAGGCCCTTAGGGAGTGGGTGTGAGGGAACAGAGATACAGGACCCAGGGACCACCCCCCCAAACATAAGCCTGGCACGGGCACATTTCTACCTCACTGACTGCTTACTACCATGTTACCCAGGAGCTGAGAGGAGATTCCAGAACCCACAGCCCATTAGACTTCTCACTCCTGAATTGGGCTCCTATTCCCAAAACTGCCACTGAGATCTGGGACATTCAGGACACACACATACCCCCCTCCTCCCTGAATTCTCTCTTCTCTCCTGGAAGGCTGGTCTCAGAGCCCTCTGCGTGCAGACACAAGGCCACCAGTCTCTACCCCTTATCCATCGGACCACCCTGGAGAACCCTAAGTCACAGAGCCTCTTTTTTCCTGATCTCTGTATGGGGGTGATAATGGAATCGCAGCCAAGATTAAGTTCAAGAGTGTGTCAAAAGCCCCTACACCTGGCACCTGAGACTGTCAGTAACCATGATTTTTATTACAGTTGCACCCAGTAGGATATGAATTTTATAAGCAAAGAAAACGCTCTTTCCTTGGCTACTATATCCTCTATGCTTTGCAGGCACATAGTAGGCACTCATTAAATACTTGGTGACTTAGACCCTGGGAAAATTTTTCCACAAAGTACAAAAATAAAAAGCATTCCTTTTTTTAGTTTTGTCATTCTTTACTGTAGAATATCTCAGAACGTCATTTCTGTTTTGGATAACTGAATTGATAATTGAGCAAGGAACCATAATTTGGATTATAAAATTTTTGCTTTACTAGGAATTCCTTAAACTGTGAAAACAAGTACTTGATGACTTTAGCATGTGGACGAATGAATGGTGGGTGGACGGATATGTGGACCAGGGCACAGAGGTGGCTCTTGGGCAGGACATTTGTCTCGTACAAGGCAGCAGGTGCTCCGGTAACAAAGAACATCCCAGCGTCCTGTTGTCCTGCCCACCGGTATGGCCAGGCCACTCACCTCTCACCAAACCTCCCTTCTCTCCATCCAGATATTCCAAAGTCCAGCATTTGCTGAAGGACCTGGACGAGCTGATGGAAGCAGTCCTGGATCAGATCCTGGCTCCTGAGCCGAGCCGTGAAAATGCCACCAGGACCCTCAACTTCACCATCTGGAACCACACCCCGCTGGTCGTCATCGATGAGCGGGACCCCCGCCACCCACTGGTGCTTGACCTCTTTGAGGTGAACAGCAACAGCTCGGACAACAGCAGTCCAGCACCAGGAAGAATCTGCAATGCTCCCGGGTGCAAAGTGGCCATGAGACTGGTAAGTGGTCCCCAGCACGTGCTAAGCAGTGGCCTGATGGGAGTCCTTTTTAAAAAAAAATAAATAAATGAAAAATGGGGTATTTCTGACTGAAAGGAAACCTGGAAACCAGTGCTCTTTTATTTACATTTTCTTTAAAAAATTATTTACTTTAAAAAAAAAAATCACTGAACTAGGTCTTTAGGTTGCAAATAGCCCAATCCAGACTGGCTCAAGAAAACAAGGATTTTTATTGGCTCACATAAATGAGCTCTGGTAGCCTGGTGGCAAGAAGCTGTGCTGCAATCCCAAAGGCATATGGTTCAAGGCCACCAGCTGCTCCACAGGAAAAAAGATGGGCAATCTCTTCCCATGCAAGTTAACTGCTGAGGGTCAGCTATGGGTCAATTCCAACTCTATGGTACACAATACAACAACAACAACATGTAAATGAAAGGCCAGAAATGTGTGGGGTTCAAGTATGGCTGGAACCAGGTACTAAAAGGCTGCAATTAAGAGTCTGTCTTTCTTTTCAGCTCTTGGTTCAGCATTTGCCTCTGTCAACTTTTCTCTCTGGCCTTCTATACCGAGGCAGTGCTGGGCCACAACCAAAATCTCTGAAAACTAATGACTTTCTACCAATGCTTATAAAAAGCAAGTTTACCAATATAAACTTTAAGACTTAAAAAAAAAAAAAGAATCGACTCTCTACAGTGGGATTTTGGTGGGTGTATGATTGCTGTTCTGCCCATGGCATCATGTGGTTGTGACGTCAGAGAGTGGACATCTGTCTGCACCCTTCAGTGTAAGTGTGCTTGTATGTCCAGCCAACACTCACATGCTTGGCGGTGGATCTGGGGCTGTGCTGCTGGCTGTGCGTGCACCTGAGTATGACACAGGCTCCTGTGTGAGGCAGGAGAGAATGTGAGTTTAAGTGGGAACACATCTCCCACCAGCCACACAGCCGGCAGTCCCAGCACCAGTGTGCTGATGGAGGAGAGGCCAAGGGCTGCCCGGTCCCCTGGGCCCTGTGAGCTGTGACTGAGACAGGAAGCCCTGCTGGAGGTCCCTGTACCCACATCCACCCTTCTCGTCCTCCGCAGTGCAGCTCCAACGGAACCGTGTGCACCTTCCAGAACTTCACCAGCGCCACGCAGGCCGTGACGGAGTGGTACGTCCTGCAGGCCACCAACATCTTCTCCCAGGTACCCCGGAAGGAGCTGATGAAGATGGGCTACCCCGCGGAGCGGCTGATCCTGGCCTGCCTGTTTGGGGCCGAGCCCTGCAGCCACAGGTGAGCACCTGGCCAGCCCCTCCTCTGGGAGCCTGGGCTTCCGTGGCTCAAATCCTGACTCAGCCGTCCACATGCCCATCTTCTGGGCACAGAGCTGTGGGCAGGGATGTGATGGAGGATCGACGATGCCTGAGGAAGGCTCTTTAGAAAAGTATGTAAGAGAGCAGCAGAAAGTGAAATATTTCAGTCAAAAAAGGACAAATACTGCATAGTGCTGCTGTTGGGAGGAGACTGAAAAAGATGGGATAAATAACGTATACTGCATTGAAACAGATGAGGGAGAACACTGTTTAAGAGGGCTATATGATTAGGTTTTATTGTCATGACAGGAGTCCAGAACGAAGGCTGCATAGTGGAGTGGACCTGGGGGGAAGGATTGTAAAACAATGAAAGAATTTGTCTTTTACTTTTCAAAGAGAGGAGTGTACTGGGGGGGAGGGGTGAGCAGGGAGAAAAGTGCAACAATGAAAGAATGGAAATCCAAAGTTTCTGTAAATTTTCATTAAAAGAGAGAGAGCAGCAGCAGAACTGAGGGGAGGAAGCAAGGATGTGGCCTTGGGTGACTTCTAACCTTGGCCAGACCTGGTTCTCTCTGTAAAATCAAGGTCGTTCCAATTCCCGCCTTGCAAGGCTGTCTCGACTATTGAATGAGTTGATGGACTTTAAGGGCTAATGTGCATGAAGTGGTCGCTGGTACACTAAGTCCTCTCTTGGTGACGGGGAGAGCCAGGCCTGCCCCCTCGGCACTGGCACATCCTCAGAGATTGAGGTCATCTCTACGCCCTACCCACCTTCTCACAATTGTTTTAGCGTATTTTCACCACAGTCAGAAAGCAGTTAGAGTGTTGAGAAAATATGGAGAGCCTTTGGATCCAGACATAAATCCAGACAGAATCCAAACTCCAGCTCTGTGTGTTGTTAGCCATACAGCTTAACTTCTGTGCCTCAGTTTTCTCATCTGGAAAATGAGGACGGCAACGTGACTGGGATCAGGGTGGAATGGCTATATACGTATGTACGCGAGATCCTTATAGCAGGCCCTGACACATGATAAGGCTCACATAAGCATCTCAAAATAAACTTGTTGTTTTGAAATGAGTTTAGATTTACAAAAAAGTGTGAGAATAGTACACAGTGCTCCAGTGTGCTCGTCACCCGGTTTACTGTATTCTCAGCATCCCACATCACGACAGGTCACTGATTAACACTAATTAAGGTGGTTCGAATCCACCAGATGTTCTGCTGGAGAAGGTGGGGCAGCCTCCTTCTGTACCAGTTGGATCTGATTTGACAGCACATAAACAGACACACACAAAAATAATAAAATTAAGAATAAATAAATTTTTTTAAAAAACCTAAGGGACCCGCAGTGGCTCACCACTCTTAACTGAACCCCACATTTTCTAGAATTCATTCAGGAGGCCACACTGCACTTAGCAGTGGCTCAGGAGTCTCTTGGATCTGTGCTTTCTCATCAGGGCCTCTGTACAATGTCCCTCAGTTTGGGTTTGTCTGTTCCCCATGGGAGCCCCGGAAGATACAGTGGTTACGTGCTTGCAGGGTCAGCAGTTCAAACCCACCAGGTGGTGCACAGGGCAAAGACGAGGCTGTCTGCTTCCATGAAGATTTACAGCCTTGGAAACTTTATGACAAAGTTGTACTCAGGCTTCGGGACTACCACCGTGAGTTAGAATCACCCCCGTGCCAGTTAGGCCCCAGTCAGACCGTGACTATAGGTTCTGTGAAGAGAGATATCTGAGGGGAAGTGCTTTCTCTCACATCCTCTCAGGGACCCAGGCTTCTCTGGGGATCAGCACCTTCATTATTTGAGTGAGGTAGTATTTGCTTCCTCAGTGGAACCTGCCCCATCTCTCCCCTCTTCTGTCCACCCTGGGCAGGGGGGTTGGTGAGGGGGGAAAGAGAGTGGAAGTGCCACCTCTATAGTGGGGGACAGATCTTATTTAGGATTCACTGGGAGAGAAGATTTCTCTCTTCTCCTCAACCCACTAATCAATCATTTCTTCATTCCAACATGAACTTGGGTATGTTTATTTTATATGTTGGGTTGTAATCCGATATCGCATTGTTTTCCTGCTTAAATTCTTCCATTCTTGACACTGGGAGGTGATGGCTTCTGTGGCTCTTTGATGTATCCTTTTCCACCAGGTTTTTTGGCTTGCTTTTGTTTTTTAGTATTGCTCTGATTTTTTTGCAATTATGTGTTATGCATCGGAGAGTTGGACAGTGACTAGGGATGATAGAAAGAGAATTGATGCCTTTGAGCTGCGGTGCTGGAGAAGAGTGTTGAGTATACCATGAACTGCTAGGAGAATAAACAGGTTTGTCCTGGAGAAGGTGAAGTCGGAATGCTCCTTGGAGCCAAGGATTCTGAAGCTTTGTCTGACTGTTTTTTCGTACTTTGGGCACTTTGCAAGGAGGGACTGGTCCTTGGAGAGGGACATCATGTTTGGGAGAGTGGAGGGACAGTGCAGGAGAGGAAGACCCTCGATGAGATGGATCGATTCTGTGAGTGGTGTGATGGGAATGAGTGTGTTTGAGACAGCGAGGTTGGCACAGGATAGAACGGCATTTAGAGCCCTTGTACATGGGATTGCTATGAGTCACAAGCGATTTGATGGCACATAACAACAACAGCGTGATGCTACATCACAGCCATTTCTCAAAGTGCCTAGTACCTGTTACAGGAGAATGGGATTTAGAAACTTGAGAGTATCAGCATGGCGTGTATTCTCATTATTATTATCATCAATGCTACTAACAGAACAAACAAATCTGTCTTAGAGAAAGTGCAGCCAGGGTGCTCCTTGGAGGCGAGGATGGTGAAGCTTCATCTCACTTCCTGTGGGCATGTTGTCAGGAGGGTCCAGTCCTTGGGAAGACCCTCAACTAAGTGGACCAACACAGTGACTGTGGGCTCAAATATATCAGAGACGATGAGGATGGCACAGGACAGAACAAGGTTCAGGTGTGTTGTTCAGAGGGTCGCTATGAGTCAGGTTGACTCCACAGCACCTAACAACAAACCTACTACTGCTAGCATTAACTGCTAGCATTGACCACACTAGGCGCCATCCGTGGGTCCTGGCGTGGGGCTCGATCAGCCTGGGCCCAGACCTGGGAAAGGTCTGTGGAGGGAAGAATCTGATGCTGCGGCGGGTGCTTCCTCTCTGGTCAAGAGCAGTGTCAACAGCAAAGGGCTGGCACGTGCCCCCCCCCCCCGCCACGCTGCCACCCTCCTGCTTCTGTCCTGGGCCGTTTCTCAGGAACACTGTGTCCCTGCTCCCCTTGGGCGGGGTCCCACACTGTGGAGTGGTGCCTGGTCCGAGCTGGTTTGCCCGCACTCTGCCTGCCCGGCCACAGCCCTGATTGCACAGTGCATGCCCGGGGCGCTTCTCCCTCAGGCCTTGGCCTCGCCCGCCCCACCTCCTCCCCATCCTCCAAGTCTCCACTCAGACCTCACCTCTCCCCTGCTCTGCCTCTCCTGGTTCCCTTATCACACGTTATAATTTAGTCCACAAATATTTACCAAGTGTCTGTCTGCCCTGTGCCAGGCACTGGGGACAGTGCAGGGAGCAGGAGCCAGAAACCTATTGAGGCTGTCAGCATGGTAGGCGTTGAACCCCCACCTCGGCACCACAGGGTGGGTTACCCAGTGCTCTGGAGTCAAGTATGACTCACAGCGATCCTGTGAACAAGGGATCTGCACCTTACCCTCTCCTGTGCCATCCTCAGCCTATCTCAGGATTACAGATGTGAAAGTGAGGCCTGGAGCAGCAGGTGACTCCCCCAAGCTTCCCACCCAAAAAGTGCCAGCAGGAATCCACACCCAGGCAGCCTCTCTCTGAACCCGGCCTTCTTGGCAGCTAAACTCTTCTTCCCCCAGACATTTATGATCCCCGACCTTGCTTGGATCTGAACTCGGGTGTTGTGCGTGTGGTGTTATGTCCTGTCGAGTTAGAACCGACTCGTGGCTGACCCCTCAGCAGGTTTTCAGAGGCAGTGAAGCACCTGAGAGACAGTGCCCATCTCCCATGGAGCAGCTGGTGAATTTGAACCCAGTGCCTTTGGGTTGGCAGCTCCGCTGGTAACAACTGAGCCCCCAGAACTCTCTCTCATAACTCAGAAGGCAGCCAAAAAGCAAGCAGGCGAGTAAAGAAGCTGCCTGCAGGTGCTGATGCAAACTTGCTGTTTAGCTCAGATTTGACTTGTGCTACCTCCACATGTGTCACAGTAGAACTCCGCTCTGTCAGTGTTACAATGGATGGTTTCTTGAGACATAGATTGCCAGGCCTTTCTTCTGAGGTGCCTTAGAGAAAACTTAAGCAGTCAACTTCTTGCTCAGCAGTCCAAGCTTATTAGTGGCGCTGCCCAGGAGCCCCCAGAAAGGGAAGGGGCAGGGGAAGATGGCAGAGCAGAGCTGGGAAAGGAAGCAGCCTTTGTGTGTGTGGTATCAGGGAGGTCTTGAGACAGATGAAAGTCAAGGACGGGGGAGAAGCCAGCTGTCTGAAGAGCCATGAGAGACATTCCAGATGGAAGGATCAGTAGGTGCAAAGGTCTTGACTTAGGGAGCAGCTTGAAATGCGGCTGGAACACGGGGAAACAGCGGAGAAGGTCAAGGTGGGAGCCGAGTCTCCGCAGTCTGTGAGCAGCGAGGCATCGTTGCAGATTTCTGAGCAGAGCTCTGCTGTGAGCTACAGCTTTAAACAGGCACCGTCTTGTCATGCAAGGAGCTGCAACTGAGGGGTACCCACAGTTAATGTAGCTGGCACGAGGGCCTGCTGATCAAAAGGTTGGAGGATCGAGGCTACCCAGAGAGCCTTGGAAGATCTGCTTCCAAAGTGCCTGTCAGTCTACTTCCAGAACACCAGCCACTGGAAGCCCTGTGGAGCCAAGTGATGCCTTGACATGGAAGGGGTCATTGCTGACTGGCCAGAACTGAGAGAGAGCGCGAGACAGCAAGAGAGTGAGAGAGAGAGAGA